GAAAGTTTCAACCTTCTACGTTGCCTGGTTCGCGAAACCGTTTCCCACCAACAAATTCCTTTGAGGGTCTTATGCGCGGGGTTTAGGCGCGTATGGGAAAAGATTTTAAAACGGGAGGATGACACACGGGGTAGGAACATATATCCGAAGTTTCAGCTCCCCAGCTTCCCTGGTTGCCGAGTTGGAAGTAGGTGACAAAACGCACTCGCTTTCCAAACACACACATACACGGACAGCCTCTCGACAATATGCGTCTTTGCCGGCTGTAGCAGCGCTATAGCGCTGCACAGCAAAAACGCATAAAAATTTCATATGTATGACTTGGATCTTTCTGAATTTAACAAATCAGCCTAAATTTAGTACTACTACTGTAGAGCGAATACTGTGGGATTCGAAAGCTGGATTCAGGTGGTTTGTGCCATAATATGTTATGAATTAAAGATGCAGAATTTGTAGGGCACATTTTACCTTGTTCCGAGGTTGCAATAGCAGCTTGAATTCGGATATAAGGTCATAGGTGTGAGCACAGTGAGGTCTGAAAACCAGTTCTGGTCATCTATTCTGCACTATGCAATGTAATTCGAGCTTGTAACTTCAGTCACTTCCAGTTAAAAAACTTTGGCTAATCATTTCCAGCTACCTGACTTCAACTAAACTTTGGACTTCGTAAAATGTCACATCCTCAACTTAACTGGACTGTGAATCTTAGTTGAAGGCCAACACGGAAAAGCCCAACTGGTTCCTCACATGGTAGTGAAGAAGTACGCAAAACTAAACTTTTCATTCTCTGAATTTCATCGAATTACTCGAACACACATGCACAAACACGCAAACCACGTCTAGAAACGCACACAGACATGAACAAGCTATTATGTGCTCGCCAGGTACGCATCTCATGCAAAAATGCATCATGGCAAGATTACGTCTAAGTGCCTCTGTTTCTCTGCATTATCCAACCTGCGAGCTGTGAAAAATATGGAATTGGAACCGTGAGAAAATGATCCTAAATCATATATAGAATCACGAATCTGAATGCAGCTGCCAGAATGCGCCCTTGGTCCAAATTCGAGCTATAGCTTGAAATCACGAACAGAATCAAGAACCGCTCAATGAACTATGCAAAAAAGCCAAACACCCGCTGATCAGACCTCAAAGTTGTCTGCATCCCTACTCCAACCTCACCTCAGTTTCATATGGCTCAATGATTCGTAAAATAAGCCAGCGCAGAACCGAAGTTTTGGGTTTATGCCGCTATATCAAGTGGCATGAATGAACCAAAATTAGTACAATGTTTTTCGATCAACGTTCAAAGGCGCACAGTGAGTTTAAAAACATCAAAATGAACTGCTAGATGTGTTGGCGCAATCATCCACTGGTTGTTCGTAACATCGAAAACGTAATGTTTAATGAATAAAAATTTCGTATTGTACTGAATGCCTGGGTTAGCCCCCGCTGACTCCTGTCTGTTGATTCACGTTACAGTGCATACAAAGAATATCTAAATGAAGTCAAAACACACTAACTCGAGCACCAGAATTTCCAGCTGACAGGGTTATCGCAGACGGACATCGCTGCTTCGAGCCACTGCAGTTGTTGGGAATCTTCGAGGCACAACGTTTATGGTAATTTAGCCCACAACCTGGAAGAAAGCTACTAAAACAGACTGTCAGTCACGGAAACCGACAGCTAATGAGTTAAATATAGTTCTGTAACGCGCTCAAAGTTTGGGGGGTGAGGAAACGTTATCGAAATTTGACACCTCTCAACCAAAATGGGGTCAACTTACTATCCGAAACTAGCCGAGTATGTCAAGTTCTCTTCTTTCTCGCAACATTTACTTCTTCAAACTTCATTCATTAGTGCCGCTTACGTGGCAAAACAGATACCTTGGCATTTCAAGCCTTGCTTCACTAAACCAAACAATAACTCGCCACAGAAGTCGCAAAAAGTTGGCGATTTGTAGCTGTGCACATAGAGTGTATGTGGATGCACAACCAATCGTTCCTGATGTGGATATGCTGGAATTTTTCAAATAAAGAAATGACTTTCTCCTGCATTTGCGCTCTGAAGCACCATATGCGGCGCATCACAAGTGAAGTTACAAGCAAACTTAGTTTCATGGTGTTCCTTAATTTAGCAAAGTGGTCAGTTCTCTTTCTATTTTTCCTGTTTATGATAGCCTATTTGCACGTAATAAAAATTAGTAAGTACTGAAATTAGAACAAGTTATGGGGAGCAGAATTCAGATCGACAGAGATTTCAAAAAAAGTGGTATCAGCCCCATTAGCTACTTTCTCTTTTACACAGACATATGAGCAATCATGCGCTAGCAGTATGCAACCCGTTTTCAAAAGAACATCGATGGATGTAAAAAAAAAGAATTAATTTTCTGACACTTACGGCTGATGACAACCTCTATCAGAGCTCCGTCAATGACGTCACTGCTTGAAGTGATTAGCTGCAGAATATTGACTGAACAGACATCATGCCGATAGAGTAGTAAATGATCCGGCAACGCTACGCCAAAGCCATGCTTCGGATACTGAAATTTCACAAAAGACGTCTAAAATATTTACCTCATAATAATCGATTTAAAAAACATCTACAAAAATTTTAATTTGGATTAATGACCTGTAAAATGCTGGCAATAAAATTCTAAGCCGGATTTTTCGTGGTGGCCATTTCAAGATGCGGCCAGAGGTCGTAAAATTATACATTTTCTGGTGTTTGTTGCTTGTAAAGTGTTTTTCACTGAAAACGAAATGGCGAGGAAATAACTGCCTGCCTTGTATATTGCCACTCTTCATCGTATAAAACGTGAGTAGTACTTATTTGAATTTTACATCGTTTTTGGAAAAGCGAAGTATCGATCAGTGTTGGAAATCTGCAAGTAATGAACAAAACGGTTCAAAAAGACTGCGTCTGATGACAAAGCACTAACAGTTTTCTGAATAAATGTCACAGCCAGTTCTCGCAGCTCCTTCAATGAGATTTTTTCATTCGGCACAGCAAGTTCTTCCTTAAAAATCCCGGATTGCAATGAAATGTTGGTCCCATCCATTTCTTTCAAGATTTTTGCGTGATCTAAAATCATTAGCCAGTTCAGCACAGCTCAGAGGTAATCACTGGTGACGCGCACCAGGTGGGCCAGCGCAGACATGCGTTTCTGCATTATTTCGTGCTGTAGTGAGACCGCACTGAAAGCCAGTAACTAAAAATTGCAAAATGCTGGACCTCGACGTTCGGGAAGTTAATTGTGCAACTACGCGATACTTGAACAGGGAACATTCCTTCTCCAAGTACCGCATACTAAAATTTCAGCCCTCCCCCCGACCTTTCTGGTCCCAGTCAACGATTCTCCCCGCCTAAAGTTTTCAAGAGGTTGTACGTGAGAACCACACAGTCCTGAAGGTTGAATTTGATGCCTTCAAGTCCCTTGAAACTTTCGACCTCCCAGTTTTTGTGGTTCCGAGGTTAGCCAAAACTTTCATATGGTCGTACGAGGGGCCTAGACGTGCGTGAGGGTTAGTGTCGCTGTACTGGGATGGTGCTTAACCAGGGAACCCACTGTCAAAATTTTAGCGCCGGAGCTTACTTAATTGCCGAGTTGAAATACTCGGACAGACGCATACACACAAACATACAGACATGCGCACACCACAGTCGCCATAATATGCGTTTTTATGCGTTTTTGCATATATGTAAATTGCAAAAACGCATATTGGGAAGAGGCTGTGTGTGTTGTCGCGTGTGTGTGTGGCTGTGTGTTCGCACTTTTTGTTACCCACTTTCAACTCGAGACCCAGAAAAGCTA